TCCAATATTAAAGTGTTGGATTGCGTGCTGCTTAGAGTATTTCTGCATCATCCGAAGCTTTTCTTTCTGGGTTGCTTTCTGGGCTTTTGCGATTACTTGGTCTGTATTCTGTTGTCCAGAGACCCAATCAACTAAATCAACTACACGATACCTGTCAATCTAGAGTATGTGTATATTAATAATCAAACCCTGAATGTAGTGTATCAACGGACGCCCCGGATGTAGTTGATTTAAGTGTAGTTGACTTCACTGTATGAGGTTGTCCAGAGTGACCGTTAACCGCGTCATCGCCTTGAAAAGGGGCGCCATTCGCCCCCCCCCCCTTGCGGGGTGCCATTCGCCCCCCCCCCTTGTGCGGTTCTAGCTTTGGCTGCTCCCCCCTTTTCTAGCACTCAAACTGTCTCTTCAACAGCCAACTATTGCGCCGTGCCAGCGAGCCACGATAGCTCCCGACTTCTGAACTCGTCATCGTTAAGATGGATGCTCTCGAGCTCTTTCTTCTCCTCTATAATCGAGAGAAACAACGGATCTAGGTCGTTGATAATACCGGCTCGAAGCCACGACCTCAATACCTGGCACATCCCAACTGTTCGCGCCTCAAGGTTGCTCCGTTGGGGAACAACCATCTGCCCTGCTGCCGAGAACAGTCTCTCACATTCTGCAGACATCGATTGTATCGTGACAAAGTCGAGAGCCATTCGGGAGAGACGAGGGTATTGCAGGCGTTTCTCATGCCAATACGCTATTGGATCTCGAACAGTCTTGTCAGTGCTCTCGTGGCTCGATTGCCATCGTTCGTATTCGTCGCCAAAGGGATCGTCGTCTAGAGGCTCTACTTGTATCGAGTCGATTCGGGATTGTTCGCAATGCTCTTCGAAGGCATTGTAGTATTGCTTCTGTCGTTTTACAACAGGCTCATCATTCGACGCGACCATAGTATGGAAATCTCGATAGGACTTGTCCCACACCTCTTGAACTATCCTTTTTGCAGATCTGATCCAGTCGGGCTTGTGCGCCCAAGTCTGCTCGAACCATCCCCATCTGTATGCCGGATGGAGTGCGAGGGCAGTATAATATATCGGTGTTTTGTCGAGAATAGTGTAGTATTTCTCCAATTTCTCCCAGGCCATATTTATGCCAATCCTGAACTGTTCGGGGTCAGGAAAGTCCTTTGCCATCTCCTTATATTTCTCGAGCTTGCCAAGCAGGAATTCAAACCCATCGACCACATCCCAAATGTTTCCATATGAGCCAGTATAACCCCTCTTGCGTTTCCTGGTTAAACCGTCGCCTTCTAGAGTCTTGACTGCATCTTCATAGTACCCAAGAATCGTCGCAAAGTGTTGAAGGACAGACCAATCGCTGGCAGTAAGTTGGTTCTCGTCTCTAAGGATTCGGGGCCGGATAGCCGACTTTTTTAACTGGCCAGTTCTTTTCGATGTATTCTCCTCCTCCCATTGGATTCGGAACTTCGTGACAAGCAGTTGGAAGTAAGTTCGAAGTCTCAAGGCGCGGCGGATCATGTAGAGCTGGGAGAGCCAGCGGGTATCGTTATCTAGGACTACTGAGACTGGGCTTTTCGAACATATTTTCGGATCGTCAGATCTGGATATGTCGTACTCTTGAAGCTCTTTCAACAGGTATGTCAACCTATCCGATCGATGAACATCAACGACGAAGTTATGGAGCTTCCCAACAGGCCCTTTCTGCCGCCAAAGTTCGTATTCGGCTTCTGACAGCGCTTCTGCGCCAGAAAGTTGTTCTTCGAACGCATCTGTATTATTCCCGAATAGTAGTGCCTTCGCTGACAGATTGACTGTATGGCCGAAGCAGCGGCCTCGTCGTTGAGCGCCATTGAAGCCGAGTTTTTTGCCAATAGCCTCGAGCGCTGTATCGTTGTTATCGGCATTGTCAAGGGTAAAATACCCAATCTTCTCCTCGATGCCAAAAACCTCGAAGGTATAGAGGACTTCTGTTGCAATATTCATCCCCGAATGTCTGCCCATTTCGGGGACCCCCAGAACGACTTTATGAGGCTTGCTATTCTCGTCCCTGAAGAAGCAAACAATACCGTATAACGAGTGTCGGTTCCGCGCCCTCCATCCATCAAAGATAACGTGTATTAAGCCGGGGCTCTTCCGAAGGGCTTCAATGACGCGCGTCTTGTGTTTTTTAAATTCGGAGTTGATTAGCGCGCGAACTGTGGTATCAGAGATGTTGGCATTCGTGATCTTGACTGCGGGGTTAAGATATTCGAAGATATCCCGAAGTCTCTCGTGTTCAACAACACTAAAGGGCTGATTCGTATCCACTATCCATTCGATCAGAAGGCGTTGAAAGTGATTTCGATCAAATCCGCGTATAATTGAGTTGGCAATCGCCTGTTCTCGAGATCTTGAAGGGTCTAGCTTCCATGCATCGACAATCGATCTCAATCTCTTGCTCCCTGGCTTCTCCTCGGCTTTCTTTTGCAAGGATGATTTTGTCTTGTTATCTGGCGCATATATTCCGTGATCTTTATATAGGTGATTTAGGGCATTCTGAAGGCCAATGGCAACGAAACTCTTAGGTCTGGGGTCGTTCTTCTGAATACACGGCTTGCAGACCCATCTGCGCTCGTCGTGCTGTTGTATGTCGTATCCATATTCCCAAGCCCACGAGTAGTTATTTTTGCTTCTTTCTGACCATACCCAACCCGGAAAATGGCCCCAGAGACGCGTATCGTACTGATCAGGAGTGGGAAATGGCGTCGAGGGCGCGGAGAACGGCGTCAATGAGGTCTCGGCAGAAGAAGCAGGCGTCGAAGGCACAGGGAGTTCGAGGTTGATTGGGAGGTCGTCGATAGAGGTCGGGGACGATTCTGGGAATCCCAGAGCGCTCATGGTGATATACAGCGCTAAAATATAAGTACATAACTAAAGTGAAAGAAGTGGTAATAATTGTTGTAGATGGCTTGAACAGTGGAGTTGCAAGATCAACAGACGCGTGACGCGGTAGCAGAAGCTCTAAGATACCTTGATTACCAGGCAAATTACGTGGGAGGAGGGGTATTTAAAGAACACCACTAATCACGGCACCCCTCTTTAAATGCCTGACTTTTAGTCTCGCTAGGGACCCAACTTTACCCTAGAGCTAAATTCGAGATCAAATGTGGCAGCCTTTTAACTACGAACAGATACACTGAAATCAACTAAATCCACGTACACGAGAGACTCAAATTGATTTAGTTGATTAGTCAGGAAGGCTCTGATTTAGTTGATTTGGTTGAGTGTAATACATCAAGTTGATCAACCAGTGTAAGTCGTGTAGTTGCTTGGGTCTCTGGAGCTATCGTGGCTCGCTGGCA